GCCCACTCTAATTTTTTTTTCAGCACGTGTGAGTTACGTGTAGTGAAAGACAATATCTAAGTTTGAGCAAAATCGAAGGGTACCCATTTTTCACAAATTAGATTTTAAGAAATTAAATCAAAATAAAATAAATTCAAAATCACCAAAAATGTAAAAATTACCAAACTTAACTAGCATAACTCCTTATGTACACGTTTCAGTTTGTTTGAAATTAATAGCTTCAAAAATGTTGAAGCTATAGATCTTTCAAGATTGCAATACACGTCCAATTCTGCTAAAAAAAGCAGAAGTTAGGCGGTTTGTATCTCTGTAGCCCGAGGGCATATGACAAAATCCGTTCACCATCAGAGGTTTCACCCAATAGCCAATAAGAATACCAAGTTTGAACAAAATCGCAGAGATGACCGATTTTGGCTGTCCCGGTTGACATGGAATGCCCCCTTGACATCCACCCTAATGCATGGAAGCAACATCAACTCACATGTTTGAACGTTTGAAACCACGAAAAGCTTGCAAACGCGCGGCTAGTGCGAGCCGACATACGCCGAATCGCGATTCCGGCCAAACATGGTCTCGGAAAGTAGGTCACAGATCAAAGGTCATTTGGGTCAGGGTCATGAAATTTTAAGGGTAGGTGTAAAATTGATCAATGCGAGGGTACTGAAAGTTTCGTGGCGATCGGCCGCTTTTTACGCGAGTTATTCGCGAAAAACCGTTGCATCACCCCCCCCCCCCCCGTGTGCCGGCGAGGGTTAAGTTAATATTTTGACACAAGGTGTCAATTTAATGCACCCGAAGGTACTGAAAGTTTCGCGTTGATACGTCCATTGGTTTAGAAGTTATTGCAAAGAAAAAAAAAACGAGAAGGGCCGAGGGGCTATGAATTGCGCCCCCCCCCCCCCTCTTCCAGTCATAGGCGGCGGAACGGGGATGGCACCGGGGCACCGTGCCCCCGTTTGATTTTGCCATTTTAACATTAGCCTATGGGCGTTGCATGGAAAGAATGGGACCAAAAGTCGGCGGTGCCCCCCTTAATTGAAGATGTTCCGCCGCTACTGCTTCCAGTGGAGCGTGGGTTAAAGACCCTATAACAACCTCATTTTACGAAGTTCTAGCAGGTCCCGATGTTCCCGACCTATAGGTCATTCGCCTGACCTGAAAGGTCAACCCATGACCTAGGACTTTAAAATTGGATATAATCGGCCTCCCCTCGTCACGGGCAACACGCTCGTTTTTCCGGCGAAGCTCTAGCCCAATCAGGCGCCGAACGGCAAAGGGGTATAACTCTCGCCCTGGCAGGGGGGGGGGGGTCGATGCGACCCCCCCTTGCGATTGGCTCCTATGGCACCTAGAAACACCAAATTTGGTAGGTAGATTGGCACCCTGGAGTTCTCGCCCCTGTGCAAATTTGGTTGCTCTAGGTCAATGTTTAGGGGGGTTTTGGCCTTGAGGGGGGGGGGGGTATAAATGTAAAAATTTCGCTAAAAACAGGTCAAAAGTTTTTCGCTTATAACTTTTGATCTAATTAAGATAGAGCAAAAAGAAAAGCACCAGTGAACTCAGTACGTCAAGGCGCGTCGAATGATGTATATACTTTTTAGCTTGCTTAAGTGTACTAACAGTTTTTCTTTATTTTTAAGTAAACTTTAATTAATTAATTAAGTTCAAGTTGACCAAATTGCATCATGTCGCATATCATTCGATTCGGCTGATCACCAGGAACACAATGACACCATTTTTTAAGCTCTAGCGTCATTATGTGCCAAGTTATTGGCAAAAACGTCATTTGACCTCAGTTGACCTCATTTGACCTGACCCATGGATAAGTACACCAAACAAAGAAGCACCAAGTGACCTGCTGTTAAGTACTGTGGTTTCAAAGCACAAAAGTGATAGAACGAAGCGGATATCTTCAGTACTTTCCGAATTTAGTATTTTCCGATATGCTTAACATTACGACATAATGACCTCTAACTGACCTCAGGTCAGTGACCTAAAAAAAAAACGAACTATATGTTATACAACTCGGTGAACTTAGCACATCCTGAAAGTTTGAAGGAAATCAGTCCAAAACTGTGAGTTGTACAGGTGCAAAAAGAAAATTGAAACTTGACTATGACCTTGTAGCGGTTTTTCTGACCTGGTGACCTGACCCAAGGTCACCTGGACCTGAAATTTTCAGGTCATATGTAAAACGGTTGCTCCATAGGTTGTGCCAAATTTGGCGGCGCTGCGCGCCGCCGTTTTTACGCTATCTTCGAAAAACCTTAGGGAGGGGGTCGCATCGACCCCCCTGCCAGGGCGAGGGATAATGTACTTCCTCCCCTATACCTACGTTAGACGCTGGCAAAACACCGATACCAATACGGGCGAGGGTTAAAAGCGGGTACCTAACAGTTGCTGCGTCTCGTATTGGCGCACACATTCGTTTTTCCGCGAGGCACCAGCTAACTTAGGGACGAGACGACAAAGGGGTTCGTAGCCACCCATCCCTATCGGCCAGTCGCTGGAACTCGTAATGGCACAATACGCTCGTTTTTTTTCCGCGATGCTGCTCAATAAGGAGCGAAACAGCGACGGGTATCGTACCAATCCACTCCCCGCTCCCCTCGACCGGTGCTAAGCAGCTGCTCAGCGACGCAGACGAGACGCAGACGCGGCCTCTCAGTCTCGACCAATATGTAGCGACCGATAGGCCCAGCGAGAGTATAACTTATAATCCCTCTCATCCTGACTGCATTTAAACAAACTTCAAGGTACTTGCGGTGAGACGAGCTGGAGCAGCTGTCTCGCATCCATTCAGTTGGCTAAAATTTGCTCCAATTTGTCCGATCTGTCGCCTGCTTGGACATACGCGGCAGGCGCACCGCTGCGCGCTCTGCCGTTTCTTGCACATTAGCCCTCCCCGCTACCCCACCCCTCACAACTGGCGGCGGATTGTCCGTGTTACCGACACCCACCAGGTGGTCTCAAAGGTCAGTCGGTCAGCTGATCGCCCCGGGCACTGTCCGGACTCGTCGACCTTGACAGGGCAGCCTGCGGCGGCGGCGGCCAACCTAGCACCTGGCGCTGTCACCGCACCCGCCGTCCGCATTGTTACTCATCATCATCATCATCATCATTTATTTCGTTTGGAAGCTCCATGCACTCACGGCTTTTCAGTCCAAGTGTCATACAGTAAATAGGTAGGCACATATATAAAGCTAAAATAAACACTTAAGCTAAAAGTAAAAACCATGAAAAGCATGGGACTTAAAAAGTAAAATGCATATCGGTACAAATGACCGAAAGCTACGCGCACAGTGACTAGTCACCATTGAGTAATAGTCGACAACGCCTGCGACAAGTGGCCGACGTGCGTGACGACCGAATGTCTGCTGGCAGCGAGTTCCAAACGTCACAGGCGCGGTAATAAAAGAACTTGCGAGCATGTTCGGTGCGGACCCTCGGCAGTTCGAGCTGCATATTCTCAGTGGCTCGAGTCTGTCTGCTCGACACGTCGCTGCGTTGTACAAACCGCTCAGAGAGGCACTTCGGTGCACTTCGGTGCATACTCTGAGATAGCGGCAATTTATTGTTGGCCTGCCGCGAGCTGACCACAGCAGTGAGGGCGAGGGTGATTCCCGTGTTCCAATGGTCAGGTGCCAGAGGGCCGCGCGAGAAAAGGGCTCTTCAGAGGCTACTAAAGAGTGCCGGAAGAGAGGCGAGTTGGTTAGAGTTGTAGGTACATACACTGAGCTTCGTTTCATCAAGACATACGAGATCATGTCTTCATAATTTTGATTGGTAAGTGACGGCCTACTTTTCAGCGATGGCCCCCAATTCCAGCGGGCCTGGCTAACATCCGAATCACTTGGAGATCAGGTCGGAGCATCACGATCAGCACGGTCGTTAGGTACAGTGACCGGAGAACATCCCCGTTCCTCGATCATCCGACTGCGCCGCAGCTACTCAACCGTCTCTAACACCCTCGGGAATGTTGTTCAATTCGGACCTCCATCACCACACCATTAACTATCTCCTGAGGCGCAGTGCTCTCAGATGGACCCCTCCTCGACTGCGAGGGGGACCGTCCCGGGCCTACCTGGACCGGCAGCTGTGAGCCGACGCCAGGACCCCTCCCCGTCACCCCTCAGTTGGCTGGCCACACCCGCCGGCCCGGGGCGTTAATCACGCGAGACGGGTTTGGCTGGGCACAGTCGACCGAGCGTCGAGCGCCACTGCGGCCCCCTCATTTGTCATCGAAATGGGCATCAATCGAGATTCATCGGATCGGCCAGAAGTTGTGCTTCAAGTGATGCATGTTTGACCTTTGCTGATTTCGGCACGTAATCAATCATTTGTATTTGGGTTATTTTGTGCCTGCGCCTTAGAAGACAGATATTTGAAAGGCTCTGGTGACAGAAATAATGCTCATTTTTTACATTCCAATTTGAAGGTAAGCGAAAATTGCCAAGAAGACAGGAAGGTACAGAGCTCAAAAGGTTTGAGCGTCTTATGGTCTGTAGCCGGCAGATATTGCGACGACCAAAGCTTGGACTTTATTTAGATTTAGCCACCACCCATACGCTGATCACGTAACTGAGTCAGCTGTGTCTTAGCAGACCACAGCGGCGTCCCGCCCGCTCCCGACGCCCTCACAGTAACAGCCTCGGTACCCTTAGTTCAATAAGCGTATTTAGGTGGCGCTGCGATCCGGTCCAGGAAAAGGTAAGCGAGACCAAATTTCAACGCAGCGCTTGCCAATGCTTGCTTATTCGTACACTACTGATTCGTTACCCTTTGCACTATTGTTTTTTATCCCAAGTTGTCGTTAGTTGTGGAAAAAGAAGCTAACAAACACAAAAATGCATACGATTCGAAGGAGGTAGCTTTCCAGTGAATGAATCGCTATTGAGTATTAATACAGCTACGCAGTAGCAGGTGAAAATCGGTGAAAATGTGTACCTACATAACTGTGGTAACACGTGGTCTCCCAGTGTCATACTGAGGTCAAGAAATGATACCATAATACATTTTATTAACACATTTAAAAGATCATTTAATAGGACGCCATTTGCAGCACACAAACCAAGCATCTAGCAATGATGGAAAACAAACGATACCATGATTGTTCCGCTGCTAACTTAATCGGCCTTAATTGAGCCGGTGCTTTGCAAGGCCTGTTAAACTTTGTCATTCCCGGCCAAAGGCAGATGGAACCATGAGTCCCTAACAGACTATTATCTTAGATACCGCTTATTGTTGCATATGGAAAGGTCAGAAGGTAGACCAAGTGAGTAATTCATCCGTCAAATAATTTATCGATAACATTGCACCGCATGCCAATCGTCCTCACATCACGACTGTACCGAACACACGAGTGCAAATACACACAACTCTATTCTACGTGCCCCGAGCCCCTCCCCTGTCGGGTCCATCGCCCCGATCGGTCCACCCGCTCCCTAGGACACCATGTTCTGGTGGTAGATGGTCTCCCCCTGAGTGAGGCCCGGCCCGAGCAGCTCGGTCTCAGCGTGTCGCAGCGCCCAGCGGTGTTCACACACCTCGAGTGCCTCCCACTCGGCCTTGAAGGCAGCCTTGGGGTCCTGAGGCATGGCGGCGGCCGGGCCCTGCATCTGCTCGGCCATCAGGCGCGCCTGGTCGGCGGCGTTGTTCTCGCCGAGCACCAGCGCGTAGATACTGCGCAGGCCGAACACGTTCAGGAAGTACCAGGAGGCCGACGATACCCAGGCGGCATCCAGAGACAGCAGCTCGATACCACGCTGCAGCATCGGCTTGAAACGCAGCGTCAACGGAAACGGCACCTTCGCTGTAAAACACGAAACGATCCTGTGTTTAGCTTCCATTTGCGACAAATGGAAAATGATTGCCGAAACAAATGCTCGATCAAATTGCTTATGAAGAAAAACAAAAAATTATTTCCCGACTTAATGCAATGTTCCGCAAATAACAAAAAAAAAAACTATTTCATTTCAAATAAAACCACTCAGAGGTGTAAGAACAGCACCATGGCGCTCTCTTCCAACGTGCAGCAAAAGCCGTCTTACTTGTGACAAATCCTGAGAACGTCCAGTTGATCCAGCCGCCGATCAGGATCATGGGCAGCACGTTCGTGAGGTTGCCCTTCAGCATCTCCGTCATCATGTTGGGGTCCGTCATCGGATTCTGAGCGACGGGTGCCCGCTTCTGCGTCTTGAAAAACCCTGAGACACGCGAGGAAAGTGTTTGTGAGAAAAAGGGTTATTGGGCAATCTTACCTGAATTCGTACAGTCACGGAGCGGGGAGGGGAAGTGAATGCGTCGATGGACGGTCTACGTACAAAGCGGAGGAGCACAATTGACGAATAAGACTTCAGCCATTACTTAAAGGGACTATCCCACCTTTAACATGGGATTTGAGTTGAGATAGCCAAGTTTGCGGCGAGGTTCGGAAACCACTATCTATCTAGGTTGCAACCCCCGCGGCCTCTTGGTGTTGAAGAAATTCGTTCCCTTCATTTGAAAATGGGCCTTGTACAAGGCCCTATCTTCAACATGGAGCGACCGTTAGTGTGACGTCACCTCGTTTAGTCATTCTGATTTAAATGGGTTTGTTCGTTGAAAAATCGCTTAAAACTTGGTCTGAACTTTGTTGTGGTGCCTACAGAGTAAAAAGAATCAGCTTTATGACAGTAATGTGGCCTGGGGAAGGAGGTAATTTTGGGCTGTGACGTCACATATTTGAAAGTTTGTGTTTGGAATATGGGAAGCCTAAGATGTTTAATGAAAAATAAATGCCAGAACCGTGTTCCTGGTCATCCAATCTATAAAGCCGGGCACAATTTAACTGGTTTTAACAACATTTTAGAAGGTGGGATAGTCCCTTTAAATCGCAGATGGTATAAAAAAATCGCAGTAAGTTTTGTACCCTGCCAGATGTATGAACAACATGCAATATGCTGACTACCGACAGCGATGAAGTCAGTCATAAAAGAACGTCCGTTTTATCACTCAATCACGGTAATTTCAGCACCAGTTACGGCAACGCCCACGGGGACACAGGACACAGACTTGTTGGTTACTTTATTATGTTGGGATTCAGCCCAAATAATCCACTCTGATTGGTTAGGTGCATTACTTTAAAGAAACGATTTGAAAAAGTATATGTCCATTGATAGTGATACAGCTCTATAAGGCTGCATGCAATCACCTTGTCATCCACTCTTGGCTACCGTTGTCTTTCTCTTTCTCTTCTCTCTGTGTATACACTGTACACATGACATCAAAATTGACTTACCAACATCTTCATTATTGAAGAAATGCTTCCTCATCGCAAAACCCTGCTGAGGTAGATACTTTCCATTTTCCCTGAGCAGGCGAGCCCGGATCAATGCTTGACTGCAACAGTAAAAAAAAAAAAAAAAACAGGTTAAAAGATACTTGTTAAGTTATTGAATGATAAGTTGGAGATACCTAAAGCAGTAGTGATGTTATAAGATGTGAAAGATATCAATATCACATTTGCTTGCAAAGTATTGAGATTGACCTTCATGACAGTGCCAGGAAGATTGATTTATATTGGTTAAAGATGGTGTCTACATAATTATTACATGAACCATTTTAGCCAATTTAAGTAAACATATGGTACTTACCTATCTTGCATTTGCTGAAGCTCAATTTTCTTTGGTGATGATATGAGAATAGACAAGTAATGTCTAACAATACCAATTAAAAATGTAAGCACTACTATTGGCAAAAACACCCATATCCTGATGTCAGGATCAAGAAGGAGCTCTGCCATGATGGTCAATTCAAAAGAGCAATGCTTGCTCAACAATCTGAAACAAAAGCAAAATAGTTGTTCAGTAATCAAATGCTACTGTTACCACTGCATCTACAATTCACAGGCATTAACCCTATTAGTGGCAGGCTCCTGGCTACCCCATATTAGTGGCAGGGGGGGGGGGCTGTTTACGACCCCCCCCCCTTGATATCTCGAGATCTAACCGGCCGATTTTCAAAATTCAAACGGCATTCGATTTGGCTCAACGAGATCTACATTTCTAAAAAAAAAATTAAAAAATGTCAATAGGGGGGTAGAGGGGGGTAAAAACGGGCAAATTGCAGATACATTTTAGACTGTTTATCACGGCCAGGTTTCTGAACCAATCTTAACGCAACTTTTGCCGATCGATAGAGAATGAACCAGGAATTCACATGGATCCTAAAAATATGCATTTTCAAAAATCATAGGCGGATACAGATCATTGAGATTGGGGTACACAAAAAGTATAGTAAATAAGGTTTTTGTTGGTACTGTTTCTAAAAAGGGTGGCAATGGTCTTGTTATGTTACAATTTTCTTATGAGAGAACGACTAAAATTGTATTGGTCATGCATAGGCGGTGTCAGGGCACCTATGTTGGGAGGTAAAAAATAACCCCCCCCCCTTTTTGGACGCCTGGATCCGCCTATTATAGCAAAAACGTGTCAAAAGAGGATGCACAATAACTTTGTATATGTTATCACATGATACCTTTCATTCACTGTTCGTAAAACTGGTGCAGCATCGTGATCTTCGCCCAAATGACTCGCTTCACGAATAGGACCCCCAATTCCCAGTGCTCTGGAGCCGCCCCTGGTAAAGTTATGAACTTGAAATTTTCAGGGAATGTGCCCAATTTAGTTTTAGGAAAAGTCAGAAAATTTCAGCATCGTAGCTTCAGCGGTTTCGGAGATATTCCCGAAAAACCTGAGGGGTGGATAAAAACAACCCCCCTGCCACTAATAGGGTTAAATGCCTAGATATTTGCTAACATGGCCATGGTATAGCATTTGCTGTTGACTCAAGAATAGTTATTTGCAGAGCTGGGCGCGTTCCTCGATTTTCGGTAGTGCGTTAGCGTTCCTGCGTTCCTCCGGCCGCGGTTAGTGCGTTCCTGGAATAGCGTTCCTCAATTTTTTCGCTCGGTGCGTTAGCGTTCCTGCGTTCCTGCGTTCCTCCCTCAAAAATACCGCCGAACCATGCGGCGCGGGCCCAACCAAACACGGGGCGAATCGATCACATAATACCCAGAATGGCGACGTGGGGCCGAAAAGCATCTCGACATCTCTTTTCCGAATCGAATATCTGAAATACGTTTTACCAATATCATCCGTAGGGTTTTCAACAAAAATACGACCTGCTTAACCCTCGCACGACCAGGCCATTTCTCATAACACGAACGACCGGGGGGGGGGGTTGTTACGACCCCCCCCCCTGGCGTTTCGAAACGGAAGGTCGTAGAGCTTAGCGGAAAAAACCAACGGATTGCTCTCAACGAGATCTCGCGATTGGTGGTATATTTTTTGGTCCTAGGTCAACATTTGACCTACTTATGACCGGTCAAAGGTCAAATTTTCCGAAAAAATCAAACTTTTTCAACTTTCCGCGGCGATTGCCGCAAAACGGTGGGAGATATCGACTTGAAACCTTCACTATCGTGTTCCTTGATCAATTCTCTATCGTTTGGTATGTATTTCGTTTCCCTAGCTCTAAAAATGGCGCGTTGGGAGCGCCGGAAGTCGGCAAGGTCACAGTCGGCGGCAAAAATTCGAAAAATCAAAATTTAAATTTTTGAAATCTGATTGTATTTTTGGATTTGGGAGGTCCATTTGCTCCCTATAGAAGCTAATATTGCTGCATATTCCCATTGAGGTGACAAGAATTAGCAAAATAGTGGTTCGGGCGCTTTTCAAAAATAGTACCGGACGCTGTTCCTCTTGTGACGTCATAGCTCCGTGACCTGACCTGACCCGGTCAATTTTCTTGCACCACACGATAGCCAATGCTTGCCCCAACATGCATGGGAAGTTTCATCATGATCCATCAAACAATGTGGGTATCACCGGCAGAAAACCTAGGGATTCGGCGCACACGTTTGGTAACTGTCGGCCGGAGGCTGTACCTCTTATGACGTCATAACTCCGTGACCTGACATAACCCGATCAATTTTTTTCGGCAAAAGATGCGCAAAGGTTGCCCCAGAGGGTATTGAAAATTTCAGCCCGCTACGACAAGCCGTTTAGCGTGCACTTCGAAAAAACCTCAGGGGGGGTTGATACAACCCCCCTAGGCGTTCTAGGGTTAAAAACAATAGTTAAGTTAAAAGATGTATCTTAGTAAAAGTTATCATATTTACTTAAAACATTTAATGCCTGAATCTGAGTCGAATAGAAAACATCACCACTAAAAATCTTTACACATTTAATGCCTGAAACCGAATCGAATAGTAAACATCACCACTAAATCTAAGAAAGCCTTCCTCGATTCGACCGACAAGTGGCGCCTCTACCGGCAAACACACGTACTCGAGATTCAAACATTTGACACAGAGGTCATTGGCAGCAATATAATTTTTCGGGTGGTTCCGCAAGAACGCAGGAACGCTTCAAAATTTCGGGTGGTACGTTCCTCTTACTTGCGTTCCTTTGAAAAACTTTGCGTTCCTGCGTTCTTGCGTTCCTAAAAAGGGCGGTGCGTACGTACGGAAGAACGCAGGAACGCACTAAAGGAACGCACTTGCCCAGCTCTGGTTATTTGCACAAATAATTAGGATATATGCAATCTCCAGTAATTTCATCAGAATATGCTGAGTAATTTCAATTATCTCAATAGCTAACCAAGCAATAGATACATATTGTGAAGTTGAAATTACCAGCATCGTGATAAAACCTTAAATTATTTAAGCTCTTGCCTCAAATTCTATGAGTAGGATCTCTAAAATACACAAATGAAATGACAATTTCTCAAATTGAACTAGGTTGAGTTTCCGGGTTGTTATTAACATTAGCCTGCAATACAAAGCATGTTCATCTAATTGCTGTATTTCACCACAAAATGCTCAACAAACTTCAGGTAGGTGCTACTCCCGAATCTCAAGTTCAAACTTCAAGCTCAAGCTCAAGCTGAAACCAAAAGAGTAAGCCAGAGCCAATGAGCTATGTTAAAGGGACCCTCCCACCTTAACATTAGATTTGAGTTGAGATAGCCAAAATGGGGTCCCTGGCTCACAATTACCGGTTTCGGCACTCACAACATCGAGAAATGCCTTAAATCGGAAATATTGAATTTCAAAATTGCAGCATTTTGATTCAGAGGGGCTAATGCATAGGAATACCCCTCTGAATGTGTGACGTCAGCGCAAATATCTCATGATTTTTAAATGTTTGACTAAAACGTTTTGTAGCACGCAGTGGTATATGCTGCTTTGCGCGCAACAAATGCCGCACTTTCAAATAAAGTCGCTAGGAACAGCGGAGATCCCAAAAAGTAAGCAAAAGTAAAAGTCTAATATCTTGAAAACCGGTGAGTATTTTTCAATGAAATTTGGTAGATATTTGTTTTTGCTCTTTCTGAACAGAGCAACATCACTTTCATGCCAATTCATTAACTTTTTTGAAGGTGGGAGGGTCCTTTAATTGAGCCCATTTGCATTGCCAAAAATGAAAAAAGTCAATAAGATTTCAGAGGAAACCACACTGAGCATTATTGAGAGAAATAGACCATTTGAGAGTCAGCAATTTACATAAAAAATAACGAAAAAAGACTAACAATCATAAACCATCCACACTCTCACACAAATTGAGTCATGAGTTGCGCAAGGAAATCGGAAATATGGGAGGGCTGTTTACGAATTACGTCATCAAAACTTCGAGCCGGGAAGCAGTTTTGCAAAATTTTGAGGAGTTTTAGCCCTATTTGCCGGATCAAACGCCAACAAATGTTCATTGCTAAGTCAGTTATATGAGAAAAACTACCAAAAACCGCTTAAACTCGTTTATTTCTAGGTTTTTAATTGTAATGACATCATCAAAAACAGGCAGACCTCAAAACGAAATCGTGTAAATTTATTGTGGCCTTGACATCGCTGACAAAATCGGCGCGGTGGAGGGCTCTTGGGTGTGTGCACTATTTGTATAATTATTTTTAATTGTAATTATTTGAAAGTTTTGGTCAGTTAGCTGAATTTTCATTACTTAGAAATGCCTTGCCGCTAGGTACCCAATAAGGTGTCCATTAGATTCACTGCACTTTGATACTGAAAACAAATACAATGACTGCTGCTGCCCACGGTGACGAGCTATCATGATCATGTATGACCACTTTTGGTCCTCTTGCGCCCATAATTCGGGACGTTATCCGGTACCCCGTCCTTTGACCTCAAATTTAACCCTGAAGATGACCTTAAAAATGTGTTTGATGTCCATTTTTTTAATCAGTGTGTCCTACTTGACCTGATACCGTGTTTTCAGCGAATTCTGAATCGGACACTGAATCCGTCGCTGAATATGTCGCTATCTTCTCGCACGTTATGCTCTTTTTATTCTTTATCTGTTGGCTGCAACAGGCACAGTGCCTCCGTGCCCATCCACCAGCTGCTGGGGCCGGGGAGGGGCAACATGTGGTATTCTTCTAAGTTCTACACATTTACTGAACTTGTTGCCCCTGTACTTCTCTGATGATATCACAGTGCATAGAGATTATGAAATGCAACTTTGCACATGAGCTGTGAGCTGAGATTGATACTAAAGGAAAATGAGTTATCCTCAGCACTTACAGTGTGTGCCCACGTATGCTGTCAATGCACAATTTTTGTTCAATATTAGTAAAACAGCATTGGGCAATTTTGGACTTATTACTTTCTTCACATTTTTGTGGTTTGAAATTTGAGGCTGGTAACCTGGGTCCTGGGTTGTTTCGCCTGAATGTTGCTACAATTACAATCTATATCTACCTTTATGTATTTACCTTAAGTATTTACCTTAAGTTAGGTCATTAGATACCCTTTCGAGTAATAAGACCCTTTACTCAAGAGGCGCCTCCTCCTCTTCTGATGAAGACGAGTTGGCTGCCATGCTTGTTGTCGCCATAAAATGACGACCACTGTTGTTAGTGACAGTAGCTACTGTTGTTAATACGATGAGTAGCCACTCTTGAGCATTAGTAGGAGAAGTTGTAGTTAAACTTGTCGGGGTGGTCCTTCCATTCTTTCCCAAGTCTGAACTTAAAAACATCGACATTTGGTGCTTCAATAGTGTTCCTAGACAGCTTGTTCCACGCCCGAGTCACTCGTGCCGCGAAGAAGGCTTTCCTAGGTCCCAACTGATGCTGAACCTGCAGTTTTTGACCATGACTTCGGGTGGTACGGCTAAGAGAGTTCTTGAACATGCTGTTGCGACAACACGAGCACTCTCTTTGGTAGTTCACCGTGTCGAAGCCTTTTAAGATTTTGAATGTCTCGATAATATCTGATCTTTGCCTTCGGAATTCAAGGGTAGGCAAATTGAGGCTTCTGAGACGATCTGAGTATGACAGGTGAGACAGCCCCTTCACCAGTCTCGTTGCCCGCCGTTGCACCTGCTCGAGTGCGTCTTTATCCTTCTTAAATTTGGGGCTCCATATAACAGCGGCATACTCAAGATGGGGTCTCACGATGCTCTTGTACAAGGCTTGAAAGACATCACTGTCAATGTTTGCAAAGGTATGTTTGATGACTCCGAGAATTCTATTGGCCTTGTTAACCTGGTTCATGACATGTTTTGAGAATGATAGTTTCTTGTCAATAGTAACTCCTAGGTCTTTTTCTTCACTGACTGCTTCCAGAGTGTGATTGTCTCCGTCTATAGTAGTCATAGTATATTCTTTTTCAGGATTAGTTGATCCTAGATGCATGACCTTGCACTTCAGTGGATGGAATAGCATCTGCATTGTTCTTGCCCAATCCTATATAGAGTTTATGTCCTCTTGTAAGCCATTTGAATCATCAGACTCGTTGACGACTTGATAGACTTTCGTATCGTCGGCAAACATGGAAATGAAACAATTTAACAGGTCGGGAATGTCACAAACAAACATAGAGAACAAGAGAGGTCCAAGGACTGAGCCCTGTGGCACCCCGCTCGTTACATTCCCCCAATCTGAGAGCGATCCATTTACTTTCACCCTCTGCTCTCTGCCAGTGAGGAAGCTCCTTATCCATCGGCATGTTACGTCATCGACTCCCAGAGCCTTGACCTGGGCCAGAAGCCGTTCATGGGGCACAGTGTCGAAGGCTTTGGCATAGTCTAAAAATACAACATCCACAGGTAACTTGTGACTAAGCGCTTCTGTCCAAACATCAAGTGCTTCCAGTAGGTTTGTGACCGTGGATTTTCCCGTGATGAAGCCATGCTGTTGATGAGCGATAAAGTTATTTGCCTTCAGGTGAGTAATGATGTCTTCGCCAATTATCCTCTCCAAAAGCTTACATAGTATTGATGTCAATGAAACTGGTCGGTAATTTGCAGGATCACTTTTGTCACCCTTCTTAAAGATCGGTGTGACGATCGCCAGCTTCCACTGCAGGGGAATTTCCCCAGTTTCAACGCTTTTTCTAAATAATGCCGTGATAGGTGGCGCAAGCTGGTCCGCAAGTTCCTGTAATACACGAGGGTGTAACTTGTCCGGGCCTGGTGATTTATCGACCTTAAGTGTCTTCAACATGGCATTAACTCTCTGAACAGTTATTGTAACTTCCATCTCTGACTCCAAGGGCTTCGATGCTATTGTTGGAATTGATGATACGTCCTCCTTTGTAAACACGCTCGCGTATTGCTGGTTCAATATGTCAGCTTTGTGCTTGTCATTACTCGTGAGTTCTCCATTAGCACTGCGTAAGTCAGATACACCGCATCTCGACTTCCTACGGCGGTTGACGTAGTTCCAAAACACTTTATGGTTACCTTTTACTTCTTTAGCCAGTTTCGACTCAAATTCCCGCCTTGCTTTCCTTGTCGCGTGAGTAGCTTCGTTTCTTGCCTTAACATAGCTCTGGTAATCAGAGACATCTTTAGTGTTCAAAAAACGAATCCAGGCGTGCTGTTTCTTCTTCACCATTCTCAGAGCATTTCGATTCATCCAGAGGGGATATCCCCTTTTCGATTTTTTGTTAGGATCAACCTTGGGCACATGCTCTTCTATCAGATCCGCGATCGTTTGTTCAAGTTTATCTGCCATCTCCTGCACAGATTTACCTTCAAACAATCCTTGCCAATCCATGTTAAGTGCTTCCCTCATATCTTCATAATTGGCTTTATGGTAGTTCAGCACCGCACTCTTTCTTGCTGGAGCCTTTGGTGCAAACGACATAACAAATGAGATGCTGACATGGTCGCTTGCTCCAACCGGGTCACCAATGCTGAGTTGCTCAACCAACTCCCGCTCATTTGTAAATAGTAGGTCGTCGAGAGTAGCTCGCTGTCCATCCCTGTATCTTGTTGGCTCCGTTATATGTTGTAGAAGGTAGGTGTCGTGTATGCATTCTATAAACTTCCGGGCTGGGCTGTTCTGGCTGACACCTTCTGGAACTTCGGGGTCCGGGGTCCAAAATATTTCTGGGTGGTTGAAGTCCCCAACTATGACTTTGTGGGAATGATTTGAGGATGCCGCCCAACCAAACATTTTGTGGAGATCATGATCCAAAGGAATAGCTCTATTTGGTGACCCACTTCTATAGATCACCCCAACGAGCATACTGACCCCAGCCTGGGCACCAATTGAAATCCAGGTACAATCTTGAAAGTTGCCGCCCACCGTAGGATACACTTATGTGCTGAAATGCTTATTCATGATGCTATATAGTGCATATTTAATTGATAACTTTATGGATGATTTTAATTGTTTTATCAGCACTTTTTAAATCAAAAAGTCATTGCAACAATATATGCTTTATTGTTTGCTAATGCTCTCTTATTCTCCCTCTCCCTCTCCCTCTCCCTCTCCCCCTCCCCCTCCCCCTCCCCCTCCCCCTCCCCCTCCCCCTCTCCCTCTCCCTCTCCCTCTCCCTCTCCCTCTCCCTCTCCCTCTCCCTCTCCCTCTCCCTCTCCCTCTCCCTCTCCCTCTCCCTCTCCCTCTCCCTCTCCCTCTCATTCTCATTCTCCCTTTCCAATAAAAAGGAGAGGGAAAGGTTTGCTCCACTCTCCTTACTGATGCATGCCTCCACTTCATTTCCCCTTCAATTATAACAAATATATATGACTTATATCTCCTTATATTTCAGGCGGTGACCTCCATTCCAACACAGTTATGTTAGCCAGTCTGCTCGTGAGGCGGGTGGTGGCCACCTGCGGCCCCGCTGCGTCGGCCAGCCTGCACAGCTCGGCGCGTCTGCGGCTGCCGCTGGTACCGTTCGTCATCGAGCAGACCGGCCGGGGAGAGCGCAGCTACGACATCTACTCGCGGCTTCTGAAGGAGCGCATCATCTGCGTGATGGGGCCGATCGACGACACAGTGGCCAGCGTGGTGGTGGCGCAGCTGCTGTTCCTGCAGTCGGAGAGCACCAACAAGCCGGTGCACATGTACATCAACAGTCCCGGCGGCGTGGTCACCGCCGGCCTGGGCATCTACGACACGATGCAGTACATCCGGCCGCCGGTGGCCACCTGGTGCGTCGGACAGGCCTGCAGCATGGCCTCGCTGCTGCTCGCCGCCGGGTCGCCCGGCATGCGCCACGCACTGCCGAACGCGCGCATCATGATACACCAGCCGTCGGGCGGCGCCTCCGGACAGGCCACCGACATCCTCATCCAGGCGGAGGAGATCGGCAAACTGAAGCGGCAAATCAACGGACTGTATGTGAAACACACCAATCGTGACCTCGCGTCCGTGGAGACGAGTATGGAGCGCGACAAGTTCATGGACCCTAGCGAGGCTCTCGAGTTCGGTATCATAGATAAAATATTGGAGCATCCTCCCAAGGCTGGCAGTGCTGAGGAGGCCAAGGACTGATGGATTATAGTTAGTGTCGCACTCGCAGAAGGATCTTTTATATATTTTCTTGATGAGCACATGTCGTTTCAGACACTCATTTGTTGATATTGTTGCCACTTGTATCAGGAAATATAATGTTTCTCAAGCTCTAACCTGATTCATCATTTGTACAGGTCTCGTGGGTTTTGGCGGTAGGTTTTGCCCGTATGAAATTAGGTAAATTTCCAGCTATATCTTCCAATCGATTTATTCGTACGCATGCATGCCTTGACCCTATAAAATGGCTTCATCGTATATGGATTAGTTTCTGAGATATATCCGTAAATGTGAAAAGGCAAAACCTACCGCTTAAACCCGCGAGAGCCGTACTTACGGTACTTACGGTTAGTCTCTTAGCTCGAATACGAGGTATCTGTGTACCGTCACAAAGCACTTCAGATGAAGCAAGCATGCCCATGGCTCATTGTTCATTACTCATTTTTCCTTAGAAGAGAAAGGCTGTAAATATTATTTTAAGTCTGGCTCTAGCCAAACGGATTATCGTTTAAAAACTAACTTTTTGATTGAAGGAAAAGGGCCACCTTCGTGAAATATGAAGATATCGTTGTTTTTCATTTTGACATTATTATTTTTCATTTTCTTTTTAAAACTGGTGCCAGAAGTGCACAATTCGCGAAAAAGTATTTAAAACTATTTAACATATTGGTACTATGTTGATACTCTCTACGGCACCTACTGTATGATGGCATAGCGATGACGTCACACTCAAGCCAATCAGCGTTCAGAAGACAGACTCGTCGGATTGTGTCAGATAAGCTGATTGGTTAAAGCTGAGCTGGTTGGAGCTGATTGGTAAAAAACCAAAGCCTCGCCGCGGGGGGCTGTATTGTCGGATAAGAACGCATTCCTGGGATAAGGACGCATTCCTGGCGTATTTTCTTTTAAAATTGCCGATAACTACGAATGGAGGCCGAAATCGGCCGTAAGGAGGTAGACACCCAGTAAACATGCCGACGTCGGCCCGACGTCGGCCGACGTCGGGGTGACGTCGGCAACTCGGCATCGGCATGGCGACGTCGGCCCGACGTCGGTCCAACCTCGGCACGACATCGGCTGGACGTCGGATATGCCCGCATGTTCCGACGTCCAGCCGAGGTCCAGCCGACGTCGGGCCGACGTCGGACCGAGATCAATTGCTGAGGTCCAGCCGACGTCGGGCCGACGTCGGGCCGACGTCGGGGCGACGTCGGACCGACATCGGCTGCTGTTTTGACCGTTAAAATAATATAAAATACATGTTTCATGTTTCATAAAGAGTTTCTGTATCCAAAATATCCTCAGGAAAGTCAAATCTTCCTCCACGCCGCAAGCACCTGATCCGGACTGGACGGGATACTTGTAAGGTGTGTCGCGGTGTGTTTGTTAAGGTGTATCGCGGTATGTGCCTTTTGGTTTATAGCTAGTATCGCGGTATGTGCCTTTTGGTTTATAGCTAGAAATTCGTGTAGCGGTATGTTCTTTATGTTTTCGCTCGCCTTTTGACTCGCCTTTTGACATTTAGAAACACGTCGAGGTCAGCGTAGTCAGAACCGTAAGTCACTGTCGCCCGATCGATTTTAGCCTCAGACCGGGTGACAGGACTTATCCACCTTCGGGCGAGTATATAACCGCAGCGGGGAGTGAGAACGGGGTCAGTGCCTGTACGCCGACCAGGCTGCAACGCTGCACCCGACCTCATCCACGCTGCTGGTAAGCTGGCTCGAAGGTAGGTTCCGACTACGCAGGGATGCTGTGCGGGCTCAAGGCACATCCCATAGATAGGTAGGAGCAAGCGGGTGGAGGGTTAGGTTAGCATGCGCGGCGTTAGGGTATTGTTAGGGTAGATTGCGTTCGCGGTAGGAGATAGGCTTCTAAAATGATAACGTCAAATTAGCGCAGTCCGTTATGACCACATCACGAAATTATGAACAATAAATGGGGCGTTGAATTGACCAGATGCTTTTGGTAACGGGATGAGTCGGAGGAGAACGGTGATTGAGCGGAGTCTAACTTTATCGGTACATTAGTAAAGTCATCAATGGCCAGGAGCTTCACTCCTAAACCCATAAGGGCGCGCTACCAACCGCGGCGTGCCTCAAAATGGCGGAGTGATTCACACTGGTACCACGATGCATTGTAACTTAACGTAAAATAGTAGAATTAGACATTGGGATGTTCGTGGCCCGAGTGGCAGTCGGGCACAGGCTGGGAGACGTCTCAGCCTAACACGGACATCAAGTAGAGTAGTAGTAATACAATCAGAGGGGAGGCTGCGAAAGGCCAAAAGGACCGGCCCGAGCCCCCCCTACATAAATGGTGCATCGGCCGGGAAACGTTCTTTCAAGTGAAATTCGAGGACTGAACAACGTTTTTCATCCGGTTGGTCAGGCACGCCATTACGTAAGACTTAAACTGCATTAATGAAACGCCCTGCCGTAATAACTCCGAAGCGCTTGTTAGTACGTGGTTTTGTAAATCTTAAACTGTGTAAACAAACGGCTAACAGTAAGTCGTAAAAACGTTTTTCATTTAATCCTGAGCAATAGGATCTTGGTATGGGGTACGACGCTAACGTAAGACTTAAACTGCATTTGGCGAGACGGCCCACAGTAAATCCAGCGCGCGTGTTCAGTACGAGATTTTGTAAATCATAAATTGTAAAAATCAAACGGCTGATAGTAAGTCGCAACGATCGAATGAATCTTGAAAGAACGGTTGATGTGCCATTATTTTAAATTTATTAAATTTACTCCGCTCAATATCCGAACTTCTAGGAACAATCGAGCCAGACCAGCAGCCAAAATTGTTAGGCAAAAGCTTGCTATGACTGCAATAAAAATGAGAAACAATGAAAATTTTAACTGTGAATGACGAATGATATTTGTGAGAAGGGAGAGTGCAGGTTGAATGAAAGAATGTTGCGAATCGCTAAATGTATATGGAAAAAGAAAAATGTATCTCGACCTGGTGCGAGTATGTTAAATGAATGAATGATACATTTCTAGAATGGAGAGTGTAAGCTGAATGAAAGAATGAAAATGGAATGCGAGTTGTGAGTATGTTGATATTAGATGGACAATGCCTATCTGAAGTTGAGTGAATAGTGAGTGAACTTAGCATGCAATGAAAATATGTAAATTCCCATCTCGATCGTAACATTCACATATTTACGATTAGCGGGAGGCTTGTTTTGATTAACTCAGTAATGTGTGCATTGTTCATTTACAAATACGTGCATTAACTCATTTTGACCTTATCTCAATAATGTATATAATTAGATAAATTATTGCCTTCCCATAAAAAATTATTCGTTTAAATTATACCTTTGTACTGCATGAAACTTTAGATGTACGGTTGATGCATGTTTTGGGTTCCTTTCTTTTGCCCGCCATTCTATTTCAAAATTGCAATGAAATGACACTTGATTTAACATGTATCAGCTATATTGCCTTTGTGACAAATTAGAATAAGGTGAAGTAATCGTGTACTTTTCAACCTAACAGTCGCGGAAATTTTCGATGATTGAAAGACTAAAATTTAATTTAGATTTAACCATGTTAAAAAGGACTTGGTCATAAAGATATGAAATGATATATTATATGTATAGCATAACCTCCGCTATTGACGCCTTCCCGACCAATTAAAAATAAGGTAGAGTATTTTGTGTTCATTCAACTTCGCAGTCGCGAAAGATCCTAAATTATCGGAAAACTCAATCAGATTTCGCTACAATGATAAATCACCAAATGAAACTATAACGGCTGGGACATAAACATCTGCCAAATGAATTTCAGATTACACATCATATTATCTAATTTATCAAAAAGATTGTAAAAAAGTTGTGTATTTCAATGCAATCGTGAAATTTCCCCCTAATATTGATTGCATATAACGTTTTATCACACGGTTAAATATGTAGGAACATAAAAATGGACGTAAGATTCGTTAATATTTGAAGTATGAAAAGTGTTTGTCATTGGTTGTAATTACAATAATTGGTAGATTCATAATCCTCGACTGTTAATTGCCATCTGGCTATCACAGAATCACTGCGAGAATGGCGTACCGGCTATCAATTTTTGTAAAAAAAAAAGGTCTAAGCATTTTGTGTGCATTTCAACTTAACTTTCATAAAAGTAGGTACTAGGATTATTGGAGGTTTTTTTTATTCAAAATTTGACGATTTCATTATACAATTAAGAGTATAGAATCGAAGGTTGCAATTTGTCAATATTCGGCTTATAAAGGGATAAACTCGTTAAATGTTTCTCACGATGGCTGCAGAATACACTAGGACAAACGCAAAGCTACACTTTTGCCTTTGATTAAACTAAGTGACTGCTATCTTTCGTTCTCAGAATCGCCCGAGAATAGCGCATGATTTAACGTGTAAAATGGCCTATTTTACGAACAAATTAAGATAGCAATTGAATTCATAAGCAATAAAAACCAACGTTTATTAAAGACATTCAGTATTTAATGTCGGATTTTCTCAATCGTATGCTACAATTGCTTTCAATTGTTTCGACCATCAAATGTTTTGCGAGCGCGCTAATTTTAATGATAGGAAATTGTGATTTATGAACAGTCAATAATCTTATTTTGCCAAAGTGTATCATTCTTTCCGGGAATAAACAAACTAGAGATATGATTTGATAAAAGATGCAATACCGGCCACATAATGTCGATCGTACCTACAAACAATCTGGCTGGTTGCAAGTCAAAATTACCATATACCAATAGGGCCAGAGGTTATGTCAAATCAAATCATACATAGTTGGCATGCGGCTTATAAATGGTAAGGGTAAGGAGTAAATTCCGGCATTTATAAGCTTTGGTGAAATATACTCTTGGTACCAAATTAATATAATGGTGATGATCGTAAAAAGATTTATGGTAATCGCGGCGTGAATTTGAGAGATCGACATCTAGTGCGTACAAATGTGAAAACACGTCAGTCAGCCATATGGCTTGTCCGATGCAAAACACGTCAATTACCCATGCATATGGGTTGTCCGATGCAAAACACATCAGTCAACCATATGGGCTGTCAGATGCAGAACCACGTCCCACGTCAGTCATTCGTGGTCAGTCATTCGTGGTCAACCTG